AGATTATAGAAACCTATGCTGCCATATACAGTGTGATCCCATTTTTATCAAAAGTAAAAATATATGTGGAGGAAAGAGCCTAACATTTTATATGACAAAATGTAAACAATGGTTAACTCTGAGTGGTTGGAAGTGGATGTTTTTTCTTATCAGCAATTTCTAAATTTTCTACAATAATTGTATATTACTTTTATAATCATAAAAATGATAAAAGTTATAAATTTTTAAAAAAGAAAGCTGTATAATAATTTTTTAGGTCTCTAAATGGTGAGTAATGGACTAACCTCTTCAAATAAATGGATGTAGTCAAAAATAAGATATCTATACTCCAGAAAGTCATTTGTGTTAGGTGGCTGGGTGGAGGCCACAAGTAGAAGGTGATAAGTGCGTTTTCTTATTATGGTCATTTCAGTTAAAAATGTTAAAAGTTACTCAGAGACAAGTTTAAGCACATATAATTGTTAAGCTAAAAATGTCACAGGAAACTCTAATATCTTGTGCCAAATTTATTTTTTAATAGTTTATTTTTTAAAGTGAAAAAAAGATGTACTTTTATTTAGGGAAAAGAAGGAGAAATATGCATTGGGATTTTTAGTTTTACTATACTTGATGGGGCATACATTAAATGGAAAAAAGTTAATTTTGTCCTCCTCTTTAAACTCATATCCATTCTCCAGTGCTCACACTCTAAAGTAGTACTTAAATTTTAACATGCATATGAATCAACCCGTGGATTTGGGTTTTGCAGGTCTGGAGTAGATTCTTGATTTTGCATAGGAATTACTTAGAAGATTATTAGTAATGCAGAATCTTGGACTAGACCTCATACCTACTCAATCTCACCCTACATTTTAACAACATCCTCATTTGATTTATATTCACATTAAAATTTGAGAAGCACTCATCTGAAGAACCAAAAATAGTCTAATTGACTTTTGGTTTTGGTCATTTCCTATGAAAATTACTTAAAGAAATAATAATATAAAAAAAGATTATAGAAACCTATGCTGCTACTAAATTCTGTTAGCAAATGATACAATGTAATTTTGATTTGTAAACTATTTTTAGGTAGTAAAAACATTTCCCTTAGAATGAAAATAAAATTTCCTTATTTCTTAGATGACTTTAAAATTAGTTCTTGTTGGCTTTATTTATCCCTTAAACTAAGTGGTTGTGTAGCAAATTTAAATACAATCACTTTCCCTTGCTTTGTCTTTGAGGACTGTTTTAGAATCTGTTTATATATATGTAATATAATATACTATATACTATATACCATATGTAACATTATATAGTATATAAAATATTTATATAATATATAATTTTATATACAATGATACATTATATATAATTATTGTATTGTCTATTATCTGTTATATAAATATATATGTTATACTGGCATAGTGGAGGACCTTTCCTTTTCAGATGCTAGCATGGTAAGATTTTATATGAGTTAAAAGTTATATCTTTATTTTGGATATATAATAATAAATGAGTGAGTTTCTAGAACTCTAAAACAGGACATTAAAAGAAAAGAAAATGGAATTCATAGGTAATTTTATGAGCTGAGTATTAAAAGAGAAAACTAGAATGATCACCCATAAGCCACTAAATTATTTTTTAAGTCAAATTTTCTTTCTTCATAAATGACAAAATTTGAGGCTCTAGAAAATCATTTCATTTCAGAAGCAGGCATACCGTGGCCACCACATTGAAACTATCTAAATGAACTCTGACATTATTGACTATTCCTTCTGAGCATTTTAATGGTAAACCATTAGGATTCTACCTACTAGAGGTCCCAAAAGAAGCAATTGTGTGGCCAGGTTTAACACTGGATTTGTCTTACAAACACCCTCAACCATAAATTTTATTGAATGACATTTAAATCTACTGAAATCATTCTACTACCATCTTTTCTACACTTTACCTTGATCGGATAGTCTCACTCTTACTAGGTAATCTCAGTCTTACAAGATATACTGAGAATTCATTTACTAAAAGAAACTCTACTAAAAAAATTAAACAAAACATATTATAAAAATAGAGCTCACCAAATATATTTGAAATAAAATCTGCTTTTTAAAAATTCTGAATACACATACTATTCAGTGTAGTACCATTAGATATGAGCTGATAAATTGAGCCCAAATATTTGAAAGTACAACCATAAAAATTCAAAAGAGTTAGTGTTTCATAAAGTAATTGCAGTGTCTACCACAGTTTAATGTATCACTGTACAAGATAAATAAGTTAACATTGCTTTCAGAGTAAAGCAGGCACTTGGAAGAAAAGGCTAAAAATGAAAGTGCTTTTGAAGTCACCATCTGCTTACTTCTATGTAGTATTTACTGCTGGAGAATAAGATAAGAGTTAAAAACTGACTTTGGTATTGGGAAAAGTTCTCATGATCTTTTTGGCCTCAAATGTATTTTGTTAACATTTTAAGTTACAATGTTAACATTAAAAATTTTGTATTTTAAAATGTTTTGTAGAATTTTATACAATTTTTAAATTTAAATTTTGTAATTTCACTTAATGTTAACTTAAAAATCATAGGCAATTTTGTTAAGAGAAGGTCATACCAACAATATCAGTCTCTGGTTTAAGGATATTTTTCCTGATACTTTAAAATTTGGGCCAGGCGTGGTGGCTCATGCCTGTAATCCTAGCACTCTGGGAGGCCGAGGTGGGCGGATTGCTCAAGGTCAGGAGTTCAAAACCAGCCTGAGCAAGAGTGAGACCCTGTCTCTACTAAAAATAGAAGAAAATTAAATGGCCAACTAAAAATATACAGAAAAAATTAGCCGGGCATAGTGGTACATGCCTGTAGTCCCAGCTATTCAGGAGGCTGAGGCAGAAGGATTGCTTGAGCCCAGGAGTTTGAGGTTGCTGTCAGCTAGGTTGACGCCATGGTACTCTAGCCCAGGCAACAGAGTGAGACTCTGTCTCACAAAAAAAAAAAAAAAAAAAAAAAAAAAAAAAAAAAAAAAAAAAAAAAAATTGTATAGTATTTTAATTTTAATTAGTTTCTGGAAATACAATTATCTTTTCTGAATATTCTATTACCTGTTTTACCACTAATCATTTTTGTCCATAGCTATCATTTCATAAGTTTTCTGAGTTACTTTATCATCACAGTTTTTAAAATATCAATTCTTAATAAGGAAATATTTATAGTTTAAATATATCTGGATTGATTAAAGTTTTGTACATCCCATATATCATTTTATTTTTTGATTTAAAGAAGATTGTGGATAAGTTGTGCTTCATCATTCTCATAGGACAATATACATATGTGTAAATAGTGTGTGATTCTTTCACGTTTCTAGGTGAAGTTAATTAAGTATATTTTCCAAACTATAACCAAGACTTTTAAATGGGAGTTATAAGTTGTGATATTTTAGATAATAATTCCCACTGTTTTGAAAAAATATATTTTTAAATGGAGTTAAAGTAATATTGAGTGACAAAAAGCAAGTCCCAGGAGACAGTATATCATCTTTGTAAGGCTCAAAAGTAGCAAAACTGAATTATATGTTGTGTTAAAAGTACATAAATTTGTGATAAAATAATTTTAAAAAACATGAGGGAGATTCAAGATAACTGTAACCCCTAAATGGTCAACATGAGGATGGATAGGGGAGCAGTACACATGGTAGTTACAAGTTATCGGGACACACACTTCATCACAAATGTTACTTAATTTTTAAGAGCAAGGAAACAAGGAGGTTTAGATTATTTATGAACAAATTGGTGATGAAAGTGTAGAAATTCCTCTCTTAGCTGGGGAAACATGTTGTTCCAAAAATTGGGATAATTGTGTTCTTGGACTTCTGCTTTTCACAGTATTGTTCTCTTTATGGCAAATATTTAGTGACGTTTTTCTGAGATTTCTAATCATTAAACAATATGCACAACGATCTTTTCTAATAATGTATTTTGTATACTTTGTTTTACTATTCAACTTACTTTTTAAATAGTGATATAAGATTGAGACTAGTGGTTTTACTTAATGAGAATAAGGGAAATTTCAGATTATTTTGCTCATATTCATAGCCAGTGAGATATGGTTATACTTTGAGTCAATTAATGTATTATTACTAGCAGAATATTTTTAGAATTATGTTTTTGATTCCAGAAACTAGGTACAAGTAGACTCTGATTTCCATTAAATCATGTAGAAAAAGTCCCTTTTTCCCAGTAAATCAAAAGTGTGGAAAGCAAGTGCAAGTTTAATTATCATATATGAGAGTTTGGGAGAATGAACAATCTCATATCAATATTACACTGCAATTTCAATAAAATAAAAAGAATCTCTCATCATTCTAGGCAAGCTTAAATCAAGGAGAGAAGGAGATAAGATTCAGGTTCAAATTCTTTTAGTTTATAAAACATTATAAAACCATTCTTCAACCTTTATGGAAATGGGACATTCAACAGGGCTGGCAAAGGCTTGCCAGAATGTATTCTAGAATAAATCTTTTTCTTTTTTCCTTGCTGGATACTGGAGGGACTAGTTCTTGCAAGACTGAGAGGCAAACTGTCCAGTAAAGTGGAAACAGGACAACCTTTATCATTGCTAGTTGTATAAATATTTGCCTTTACATAAAAGAGAAAACTTCCCTTGGGGACTTGTGAGATACTTTTGGGATGGAGAAGGGAAAAATAAAATCTACAAGTCAACTAATCTGAAACATAATTTCTAAGTGTCTGGTCTGAATTTAAGCAGGTTACTTGAGGTTAAAATAAAAGGCTATACCCTTCTCAAAGAACTCTGCTGACTCCAAATGTGTAGATTTTGAATGAAAATACATACCAACAAAATTAAAAAGTCCTTCAAAAGATACCTTGAAATAAAATGAAATATTATGGAAAATGATTAAGGCAAGAGAAATTAATCTTGGACTTGATTGAATGAAATAAACAACTAATGTTTTTCATGCCCATCATATTTAGTCTTACTTCTAATTTTACAGGAAGAACAACTTTTACTGTACCTGACGTGGGGTTCTTTCTGATTTACTTCTACACCACTCCCAGTCTGAAAGGTCTGGTTTCTGACTCTCCTCATGAGATAGTCTCCTTTCTGGCCCTTCAAAAAAGGTGGTTTCTTCATAGTTAATATCACCTCCTGTTTTGTCAGAAAACACATCCTTTTCTTTGTCAGAATCCTGTTTAGTCTCTATAACATCAGTATTCGTGCATTTGTTGATGCCTTTTATTGTGGAACTGTCCAAAGAGGTGGTGGTGCTGATTTCTACCTTTATGGCATTGAAGACATTACGGTTGTCTCTCTGAGAGTCTTTTGTAGCTTCACACTCATAGTTCATCAGGTTGTGATAGGATACGGAATTTTCATCATCATCATAGTAATCTTCATGTGCTATTTTATAAATCCCATAACTTTGTTGGAATGATAGATTGAATTCAAAGCGTCTCCTCTTGGCTAAGTAAAAACAAAAACAAAATTCCATGGCTAGTAAGGTAGATAAAAATAACAGATGGATATACATAGTGAATAAAAATAGGAAGTGAATTCAACCTGATTATTCTACAATAAAAAACTATCTTCATTTACTCCGTGTCAATTATACAAAGCAATTATGCCTCACAAACTCAAATTATCTTATCACCCTGGGCCTAATTTTTCTCACTTGCACAGTGAGGGTTTTGAAATATATACAATCCCCAAAACCCTTTCAATTTTTAAAAGCAGTTTTACATACCAAAAATTTAACCATAAATTAGTAAACTAGCAGATATTGAGTTTTAGTTTTCTCAGTCTATCAATTGTATATTTTTTTTGTTTTTGTTTTTTTGTTTTAAGACACAGTCTCACTTTGTTGCCCAGGCTAGAGTGAGTGCTGTGGCATCAGCCTCGCTCACAGCAACCTCAATCTCCTGGGCTCAAGCAATCCTGCTGCCTCAGCCTCCTGAGTAGCTGGGACTACAGGCATGCGCCACCATGCCTGGCTAATTTTTTCTCTACATATTAGTTGGCCAATTAATTTCTTTCTATTTATAGTAGAGGCTCACTCTTGCTCAGGCTGGTTTCAAACTCCTGATCTCAAGCAATGTGCCCGCCTCGGCCTCCCAGAGTGCTAGGATTACAGGCGTGAGCCACCGCGCCCGGCTGTATATTTCTTTATTTGGGGATAAAATATATTGTTTACAAATTTTATTTTGCAAGAAATTAATTATTAGGTAGCCTTTATATTATGCGAGTTATTTAGCTGACTATATCACCAATAGATATATCTGCTTTAATAATTTTGATGTATACCATTTCTGACACTTATGTCTATAAATGCATACAATAAAAAAGTAGATCATGCTGAAAACCAGCTTTTAAACTTTTTAAAATAACATGTATATTTCTGATACAAATCAATTTGGAATAAATCAGTAAAAAAGTGGATGGATTTATATTTTTGTGATGTGAAGCCCTTTACAATGTCTATAAAGCTGATTAATTACAGGATGAGCTTAACAGGAATGCATAAAATTTTTATGATTTAAATCAGATAAAATATGATGGTATACTGAATATAGTACAATTAATATTAGTTGGTGCATATGTGCAAAATCTTAGTAGAATAACAAGCAAGAATGTAACAGAAAGTGATACAAAATTTTTTATGTGAATGTCATTAAATGCTAGATTATTTTTACATGTTAAAAATGAAGTTATATCAAGGTGGTAAACAAGATACGATTTAATGTTTTTGTTTTCATCTTTCAAATCATGGATTGTTTTGAACAAATTTTCTACTTTGGTAGCTTTGTGTTTTATAGTCAGATATCTAGCTGTCTTTGGCAGAAAATATTTTATGAAAAGCTATAAAGTTTCTATGGGAAAAATAGGTAAAATTTGATTCATTTTACCATACACACTAGTGTTATTCACATACTGATTCTATTACTGAAATGTTCCCAGAACCTAAGATTTACAAACAAATTCTGCTGACTGGAAAATAGAATTTGTCAGTATCATTCATTATTGTTTGAGCCAGAACACAAACAAGAAAAATTTCAATTCAAAGGAAATGGAAAAATAGAAACAGATACTCATATTTTATATTTGAACATCCCATTTATATTTCTACCTACCTTTTCTATAATAAAGTCAAGTAAAATTAAATAAGGCTTTTTAACTTACTTCAGCAGTGTGAAAAGAAAAGGAAAAAAGATGTTTTAATTATCTATGGGTTTCCCTTTTCTCCAAATAAAGATATAAAGTGACAAATTATCAATTCGGTACCATCAAGAAAACAAAAACTGTCATAAAATTACAATTTTGTGATATAACACTTGATAAAATTGATATCTATAACTATGTTTTATTAGCAGCATATAACTTTGAAATATATAAAGCAAAAATGAATAACGTTTTTGAAGGATTGTGCAGAATGTGTTAATAAAGACCCTGCCTCCCTGTCATGAGATACAAGAGACAGTCTGAGATAGGCCATAAGAAGAAAGTAGAATTGCGATAGAGACTTTGATATGATAGAGCAATCCAAGGCCAACTTATGCACACAGATCATGCCATTTAACACATCAACAACCATATACAACAAAAAGCTTATTGGTCCTATTTTACAGCTGAGAATACTGAGGTTGATAGAGGAAACCTACTGAAGATTTTTTACTTAGTAAAAAGACTTGAATATAAAGCTAACTTTTCAGAATTGGAGTTTTTTGCCTACATGTGAAATTGACCCATGAAAGAAATATGTTAATGGAAGACAAATGACCCAGATGTACTGTTCTTAATTCAGAGGAAGTACATTAATTATGAAGTGTAACCAATAAAAACATTTGTTAGTGACTTTCCTCAACAGTAAAGGTAAATTCTCACTGAGGTAACTAATGATACCTGAGATACTTAACCTGAGATAAACAGTTATAACAATATCACAGAATTGATAATATTTGACTAGAGGTTGGTTGTAAAGGGGTAAATGCCTATAAAAATACATTTAAATGACATCGTTAATAACCAAAATGAAGTTGAAGGAAATGTTAGAATCAGAGTCAAAATTGATCATCTTTAAGTTCCTTGAAGGTAAAGACTGTCTTTTTTTCTTCTTTATTAACCAAAGGCAGAAAAACTCAAATGTTGATAGCAGCTACTTAGGTAACATTAATAATGAATTGGAGTTTTTTGCCTATATGTGAGCAAAAACCTATATATAAGGTTAGGCATATATTATAGCAAGCAGGATAGCTTCTCCATATCTAAAGCAAGCTCCTGAGCTCCAGCCAATTGTTGTAGGGGGATTGGGGGCTGTGTTGTCAACTAGGCTGATTTTTCAGACAAATGAGATTCATAAATTTTCATGTAAAATATCCTGATATTAAAATTTTGGCCCATAATTAAAATTAATTAAAAGTAACTATAAAAATTGGTTTAAAAATATATCGTTGAGCCAAATTCAGTTCATGGGCCATGAGTTGGGGACTTCTGTTCCTTATTGCAGCACAGTGCTAGACACATAGCCACAACTTCCCTAAAAAACATTTGTTGAGTGAGTGAGTGAATGAATGAATGAAGCCACCTGTCATAACCACGCATGGAGTGATATGAAGGGCTTGTCAGGAGAGCCTTAACTCAATGATGCTAGCTGAATGGAATATGATTTTTAAAAAAATGATATCTTTATAAAAACTGATTTATTTATAGGTGGAAGGCCTTGAAGATGTTAGAGTTTCTGACTCCTATTTTATGTCCCTAAAAAAGACCCTAGTTGCATTGTTTTTGAAGACTTTTGTGTGTGTGTCAGTAAAAATCAGAGACCTTTCTTTCACTGACTAATAACTTGCAGGAAACTTAAAGACCATCAGAATATTGTCTGGAATCTTTTGAAATATACACTACACTTCTGAAAAATAAACATAATGTTGTATTTTTTCTGAAAAGGAAATGCTTCTCTGTTCCAAACTCCTGGATAACAAATGAATTAGCTTTATTCTTTTGTTTTTAGTCACATCTTGCCAATTATAATTTTAGAAATAAGTAATTGCATCAACTCATAAAAATGAATAATCCTTCAGAGTAATGTGTCACTTACCAGATACTCTAATTTTGTCAAAAAATAGAAACTTAAGATTTGACTTTTTAATAAAATATTTGATTAACTGTTTATTTAATTTAAAAAAGAAAACATCATGTCAGGCAAAGAAAATGAGTTTGAAAACCATATCTAATCCATATGTCTACCACCTGAGACCTCTGTGCTAACGTCATCCTTTTTTAAAAAACAAAAACACTTTTGTTTTGAGACATTAGTAATACAGATTATTGTTGGAAACAGGAGACAATTATTGTTTCCGCAAATTACTTTCCAGTACTGACATTCATTTTCCAGTTGCATGTCTCTCAGTTCCTGCTCAGTGAAGCTGAGAAGTGGAATTATACTTACATCTGCAAAATTAATCTATGGTAGATAGGAGTTAGGAAAAAAAATCTTTCCTTCTTTACTTCTGGAATTCACTGATAAAGAATGTAAGGAGAGGGAATCTGAGTTTGTCAAGGAAAAAAGTTTCAATGTAAAACTGGAGCCATACTTCCAAAGAATTAAAAATACTGTAGCTTATCAAGTACCTGGCCCACCTAAGGATGAGCCATCTTTGTGGTTTCGAAATTCTGTTGTTATGTTATCCAAGCAAGAGAAAAAATTATGGTGGCTTCTCAGACAGTGAAAACACATTATTCTTATTCTCAGAATTTCCCAATGGCATAGCCTGGATCAAAGAGCGAATGGAACCATTTGAACTGTAAAAATCTTATAATTAAGTTTCTCATAATGTTTTACTTTTGAAGCCATGACTCTTTCTAAAAGCATCCACATTTCAAGTCTTTCTTTGGAATTTTGAAATTAAATCAAATAAAAGAAATAGTAATTTTAGAGAAAAATATTATTTTAATCTTGAAAGGCATGTTTTTAATTTCAAAAATATGATATTAATGTGATCACTGAACTCTGCTAGCCTGCCAGTCTCTTCTATCTTGTGCAGTACAGAAGATAAAACATTTCATAGGTTATCCACAATAATAGGTCTGTTACTTGCTTTGTTTTCATTCTAATAAGGATGCTTTACATTTCTTTAAAATGTCCACCTTAAACCACTTTACTGTGACTTTTCATTTTCACTGGCATGGATTCTTGCTTTTCTTACAATCTTAGACATTATAAGACAGGGTTGCTTCATTAATTTAGTGGAAAAATGTTAAGATCTATTGGACTGTTAGAGCCTTCAGGCTTGTGAATGATTTCTTATATGTTATGTATTTGTAAGTGACCCATGAAGGTTTATCACTAATTTTCTCTGTCACTGTTGCTGTGGATATTAATCTTCAGAGAACATTATTATTATAAGTTCTATGGTTATTTTAAATGCAGATAAATTTGGCTTCTATTAACAATAAAACTTTGTGATATTCTTAACAATAAAAAATTATGATCATTTGAAAAATATCTAGACATTCTAAATTTTAAATGTCATCAATATATGAAAAATGGTCATTTCATGGCTAATATTTATAAAATAACTCTGCTGTTAAATTGATTGCAGAGAATCAATCTTCGAGAATATACTTAGATACTCTCCAGATTTTACGACCCTAAAATTGTGTGAGATGGACTGTTTTTATCTAACCTTTCTTCTGTTAAAGAATAATATACTTGCTTATTCTAAGCAAAGGACAATTAATGGGACAATTAATTCAATATTCTTAAATTTATTAAATGGTAGAACACCCTATCTTTTGTCTGGACTGATAAAAAATATCCTTTTCCTTTCTAGCAGAGTCAAAACATACAGCTCATTCCTCAACTTTACCTGTTCTAGAATATGAGAATAATTACACTGTAAAGAGTTTTAAAATTGACCCTGCCTCCCACTTTCATTCTAGGTGTACTCTTTAGAACTTAGATTTTTTTTAATGTTTTTTTTTTTAATGTAAATAGTGTGGCTAGATTCATACCTGAACATATAATGACAAACTCTGCCACTTTGTCTCTTCCTGAAACTGAGGGTTTGTTTGGTTTCGTTTGGGGTGTGTGTGTATGTGTGCATATGTCCACCAGCAAAGGCCTACACTTAAAATTTGTTTTGAAACTGTCTTCAGTCTCTCTGAAGACAAAATTCTCACAACCTTGGAAGAATACAAGCAGCAAAATAAGGAAAATGCTTTCCTTTACTGTTTCATTGAATGATAACCGGCAGCAACATAATGAGTTTTTAATTCTTTCCAGAAAGTTAATAACTTTAATACTATAACTTTAATAACTAATAATACTATTAACTTTCTGCAGGCTTCTCATAGCAATGCTCTTCTTATTTGTAGACTTGGGAGGGGAACTATTTTTCTGCTCTGGGTTAAAAGCTATGTGAATGTAATATATAAATGCCTTTGCTGGCATGCCGTGTTGAATGACTTCTAGTTCCCTTTTTACCTAAAATAATTATTGAATACCACAAGTAGTACTTCACAGGATAGTGTAAAACCTGCCGCATTTAAAACCTACTCCAACACTGTGCTAGCATTTGTTCCACTTTATAACATCTTGTCTATATTTACCATTTCTATTTGTCCTTGAATTCTTCATCATCTACTCAGGCAACTTTCTCAATAGACCACTTTCCTGAATTTGACTGTATGCATATTGTGCGCGACCACGCAGTGCCAGACTTACTTTTTTTCCCATCGGATGTCACTGCGTATGCGTTCTGCCTGCAGTTGATGATGCAGCCACAGGGCAAGTGGGCCCAGCGCTTGGACAAGACAAACACTGGGGTTACAGTGGAGGCCAGCAGGGTGAGTAGAAAGCTGAGTGTCTCGAAGGGAAGGCTCTGAGATCTCACTACGTGCTGGACCACCATGTGGATCTGCAAAGGCAAGAGAACTTCAGACCTAACCCAGAATCACATTTTCCACTTCTCAAGCCTTTCCCCCAAGCGCGCTGCCCCAGCCCCTTACCCAGTGCCCTTCCCTGATTGAGAGCCAGAAGCTCTGCTTCTGGGCTGGTGCCCTTATCTTTGGTGGTGGGCTCTTGGGAACTGGTGAGAGCACCCCACTCTGCCAGACTGCACAAGATTTGGTGGGGCTTCTGTTCTGGCGTGTTGGGTCTGCGTCCACTGCCAATTCAAGTCCCCACCAAGGAGGCACGGTCTACGATGTGGGGGACTCTACTGGGGGAAACAGGCAGGCATGCTGGAGTCCTGCACCTGGCTTTGTCACCTCCCTGGACCCTCAGTCCGCTCGCTCCTGTGCGCTTGTGATAGCAGGGCGCCACTTTGCCACCTCCAAATCGGGCTCCCTCCTTGAGGCAGGAAAAAATAAAGCCTGTTTTGTCCCCTCTCTTCTCTATGTCTGATGCTTTTCTCCTCTATCTTTTCCTGCTGGGGATGGGGATGTCTTTACCAGGCAGGCATGGAGCAGAGAGAAAGGGGTGACAGAAGGTTGGAGGAAAAACAAACCCTTCTTTTTACCCCCACCCTCCATTTCTCAATACTCAGCTTCTGCTGTGAGAAACTACACCCGTGGCCATCACAGCACTAGGGAAACTAAGTCGCCCGCGACCGAAAGCCCTCCCCGTCCCCTGCAATTTTGAAAGGAGAAGCACTTAGCAGCAGAGGCTTCCCGGCCAACCAACGCTACCGGTGAACTGCCTGCCTCCAAGTGAGTCTCTCAAACAGAGCGAGATACATCTGGAAGCGTTCTCAACTGCGCGTCCCTCGGTGACTCCCCAAACCAGCGATGCTGGTTCCAACACGCACTCACACTGACTGGCACACACACTCGCGCTTTGTGAGCAACTGCACTTTTACCATCATAGGCAGCCAAAGGATGACTTTTGTCAGCGCTAGGATCAAAGCGAAGCGCTTCTGCGCTACACTCATGGTGAAGCTCCTGCTGCCATACAGCGTCCCCCGGTTCGCACGCCTGCAGGCTCCAGCTCCAGCGGCGGCGGGCACGCCCGGTCCGAGCACAGAGTCGGAGCTCGGGGAACATCCCCCAGAGCGCCGCGGGGCCGAGCCCGGAGCATCCTCTGGTGACAGGGAAAGCACTCTCCCCGCAGTGGGAGGTGTCCCGGGAGTGGAAGCTCCACGGGAAATTTCCTGGTAGTTGGCGTGGAGTCTCAGCGGTTCCTCCGAACACAGCAACCGGTGAATGAGAGGAACGGAGAAGCCCGCGAGGAGTGCAAAGGCCGAAGCATACACCGCGAAGAGGAACAGCACGTAGGAGCTGGAGCAGTCTGCCAGGCAGCCCCAGGGCGTGCGTACGAAGGCGCCCCAGCCACACAGCGGGAGCGCAGAGAGCAGCAGACTGGCTGCCCACACGGTGAGCGCCACGCCGAGCACCTGGCCGGATCTTCTGGAGGCTATCTGGCTCCCCACAGCTCTGTGCATCGTGTAAAAGTTGTAGGAGACTAGCAGAGTCGCCTTCAAGTTGCTGGAGAGGCCCTGGCATAAATACAGTAAGGCAGAGGTGGTGCACAGAGACTGGAAGTAGCCAGGGGTCTCTTCTGGCCACTGCAAAAACATGAAGATGGTCACCGACAGGACGCTCATGAGATCATCCACAGACCAGGAAGCCACAAGCATGGACACGACAGTTCTGTTCTGCATTCTCAGCAGGGAAACTAGTGAATAAATGCTGCCTGCCAGGGCTGCAAGAGTAATTAAACATGTCAGGCAAAAAAGATAGATATTCAGAGTTCCTGGTGGATTTAAAAGATCCGTAGAATTATGATTTTCTTTCCACAGGCTAGAGTCATTTGTTGATAAGTTACTGAGTAATAAAGACATTGTCCTTGGTCAATATTTAATTTTCCTTCTCAGTGAATCTGATAATTTTCTCAAAACAAAGCATGGCTGTTGCAAATCAGATTTCATTTCTCCTACCCAGTTCCCTCTAGATGTTCCCCTGGTCAGTCCTGTAGGAAATGGTGAAGCATGTCTCCTTTAGATCTGACTCAACCCATATTTAAAAATTAGGTTCCATTTCAAGCATTAGTAAGAGAATTTTCAACACTCCAATTATTAAAAACAAACCAAAAACTCCCTCCCAATATCAAGTTTCAGGCAAGAAAGCAAAAACTCTTCAGGTAGATTGAGAAGCAATGGTGTCTGGATCCTTTTGGGTCCTTCTTATGGAGCAAAGCAGCTTGTAGCTTGAAATAATCAAACTCTATTCACTTTTAAGAGCAGAAAAATGATGCATTTGGTTCCAGAGCTGGATTCAAAGGCAGAGATATTGTCAGGTAGGTTTCAGCTCTGAAGGCTGAGAGAGAGAGCGTGAGCGAGCTCCAGCGGGAGAGCTCATGAGTGCCAGTCGGAGGCAGCCTGAACACGGGCTCCAATCTGAACCGTTGTGTTCTTCAGTCAGCCTGCGATCCACAGAGCTGCAGGAAGGAGGAGTCAGTTCCAAGTAGGAAAGAAGCAGGAAAAAATAGGGAGGGGAGTCACCGGGTGAGCAAAATTACGTGCGTATGTCTCTCAGCCTGCCTCATTCAAAGCAAGAAACAGTGTCCTTGCTAAGCTTCTCCTTTAATTTTGACATATAAAACTACCCAAATGCTTGCTCTGGCTTAATGTAAACTACAAATATCACCTTTGAGAGGTCTAAGCTACTCTGACAACTAAGGGGCTGCTTTTATCCTTATCTAGACTTCCCTGCTTCATAATTCATTGGAGGAAGAATATTATAAATGCCATTAATAAGAATAGGATGTACGAGGTTTCTTTTTTTTAAAAAAATATTGTACTGAAGGATGTCATTATGGTCCTCACTACACTAAAGAGGATTATGTAGAATCTTTGCATAAAGTCACACTAACATTGCACATTTATTTATAACTATTTTCTGTCAATGTCATCAAGTAAACAGTCTGTCATTTGAATAAATGATATTTCTAATTGTTCGTAAGGCCAGATGACATTGTATAGGGCCTGAAGGGAAAGTCACCCCACAAAAAACATTTTGAATGAGAGTATTTGGGGAATTGGATACCATAGTTGCATCTCTGCGTTGCCAGTTTTGCAAGATGAGTAATTTAGCAAAGAAGTAACGGACAGCAGTACTTCTGGACTGGCATTTCCCAGGATGCATTTCTCCTCAGCTTAGCCTCGTGACCTGAGGGCTGTATTCCCCCCCACACTGCTGGAGGTCTGAATAGAAGCAGGGGAAGGGAAAGGTGGAAGTTGGTATGGTAATGATTTAAATGGATGAAAGTGGCTATAGAAGTGTGATCATTCCTTTCATTTTAGAAATAACTGAAGCTTCATTTTGAACCTGAATGTGTTCAAGTGCAAAATGATTGTGTTAGTCATTGCCAGTCACACCCTGGGATAAACGCAGCAGGCATGTCACTTTTCTTGACATGTTGATTGTTTAATTTTTTCCTTCACTCAGTGAATGGAAACAAAAACTACATGCAACAGCTAGCTCAGCACTCTAGCTCTCCCTACTGACAGTAATAGATCTTGCAGTGCTGTGTGAGTAAGAAGGGTCTGGGGATACATCCATGTGAAAATAATGTTGATTCAGAAAGCACAATGATAAATAGACCTTATTTTGGAAGATTTTAAAAGTTCTGTGGTATGCTATTCTGCCCCTTCTCACAGACCTTATTCTTTCTTGCCATAGCAAAAATATTATTCTTGAATATGGTATTTAATCCTGGATTTTCAGTTAGGTTGGGCAATAAGTCTCACGTTGTTAAGATACAATGACTAGAAATCAATAATAGCTACTGCAATACCATTTCAGGCTTGAGAACATTTCCCCTACTATTACCATCATTTCTGGGTTTTCCATTAAATATAAATTTGGAAAAGGGACACTTAACCACCAAGTGGCACTGGTCTTTAGGATGTTACCAAAAGGCAAGAGTTTTTATCACATTTCCAAATGTTAGTGGTAGAATTTTAGCGAGTAGAGAGCCAGGAGAGATATCTGAATTTTTTACTCTAGACTGTGCTATTGCTGGACAGGTAACCTAGGACAAAAATTCTTATACTTTCTAGGGGTATCTGTGTCTGCATCTATAAAATAAAAGGGTGTCTTAGTCTATTTTGTGTTGCTTTAATAGAATACCACAGACTTTATAATTTATAAAGAAAATAAGTTAATTTCTCACAGTTCTGGAGGCTAGGCAGTCCAATATTAAGGTGTCAGCATCTTGCGGGGACTTCGTGTTGTGTCATCCCATGGTGGAAGGTATAAAGGGCATGAGAGCATGCATGTGGGCAAGACAGAGAGCAAGAGGGGCTGAACCCACTTTTATAGCAAGCCCATTCTCTCAATAACTAACTCACTCCTGAGATAATGACATTAATCCATTCATGAAGGCAGAGTCCTTATTCTATAACCGCCAATTATTAGGTCCCACCTACCCACATGTTGCACTGGGGACTAAGTTTTCAACACATGAACTTTGGGTGGCACATTCGAACCATAGCAAGCGGTTTGACTGGATTATTTTTAGGGATCTTTGCAGTTCTAAAATTAAACGATATAATATTTTTTTAAGTTTAGGTTAACTTTATCTTATTTTTTCCTGCCTATTTCACAATAAACCAACATTATCATCTATTAAAACATATAAGCCTGTAAGAGTTGATGCTTGGATTCTCTGTACTTTCTCTTTCTTTATGATAGCATGGAGGCTTTTGTCAATAATGCTGGAGGTATAAGGTTCAAGCAGCCTGGAATGTTGTGCCAACTGAAGGATTACAGCTCCCCTGGACAACTGTATGAACCTATAGTAAGTTTTATATGAACAGGAAGTAAACTTTATTGTATAAAAGTCACTGATTGTTGGGAGTGGATTGCTACTAGATGGTATCCTATTACAACTGCACCAGATCAATCTGGCTCAACTTTTATGTAACAAAGTTGTGAGTTGTTTTTCAGTTGCCATAAACACTCAGGTTGAAGGTCATGTAAGCTGAGCATGCCCAGATGAAACAAGTGTGCAATCACTGGCAATAATCTAAGTGCTTGGACTGAGGAACAGGGACTGAATTAAAAAATGGATGCCACATAATAGGACCCAAGATCCAATCAGATGAGGCTCTGGCATCACACCACAGCAGGATCCAGTTAGATTATGCCTCCAGGCATCTCTTCATTGCAAAATCCAATCATATCATGTCTCATTACCTTATACTTATAAAACTTGATCCAGCTTCCAGGTTGGGAAGACAGATTTGAGCATTTCCTCCTCTCCCCTTGCCAGTTGACTTGCAATAAAACTTTTCTTTTTTCAGGGGTGAATGCCATGGTATTCACTTCTATGAACATCAGACAACAAGGTCATCCTAATATGGTTAGGTATAACATTGCTCCCATTTCATTGAGGAAAAAATAGAGGCACAGAGAGATTACTTGATTTTCCCAAAGTCACACATTTAATAAGTGGTAGAATCAGATTTTAAAATTATTTTCAGTTCTCTGGTATGTACTGAGGTTTTTTAAAAAAGAAAACTGTAGTCAAGTTCTGCATTCTTAATCATAATAGGCACACATTTTCTAGTAACTCCCTCTTAGCACTTCATCCTTGGAAATACTTTCAATGGATGTTAATATTCTGCTTTCCTTTCTTACAAAACATGCTTGAAATGTCTCACTTTATAAAATTTTAACCTTAATACTTTATAAAATAAATTATAAAATTTATAATATTTTATGACCCTTTATATTTTATAATGCATTGTATATGTATATATCTATAGAACATATATAAATGTATTATATTTTATAATGCATTATATATTACAAAACATAAAGTTTGGTAAAAGATTGTATATTGAGTTTACAAACATTATTTATCTATGAGAAATAGTTCCTTGAACATGTTAAGCCCTCTCTTGAACCATAATCCTATTTTCATTAAAATATGAAAAAAAAATTTTTTTTGAGGAAAAAAAATTCACTCTAAATGCCTTTCAACCAGTATAGGTTTTAGGAGACTTAGGAAGAAAGATTTCTAAGATGCCTCTTTGTGCTTTAAAAGAATTTACTCAGTTCCTATGAGTGAGCTTTGTTCCTGTCTTACTTATGATAGTTATTTTTTAAATCTATGATAGAGCTTTATGTCTTCAATTATTTTAAATTCTGCTTTCAAATTACTTAATAATGCAAAGGTATATTGATTTAAATAGAAGTTCTTTATTTTTCTACCACTGCTTTCTTGGCTATTTTAAAACATGTAGTATATGTTTAAAACATGTACTATATGTAATATAGCATTGCAGACTATTAAAAAACCTACAGAGTGTTAAATTACAGAAGTTTAACAGAAAAAATTTCAGAGAATTTAAACAACCTACAGAAAATTATATGACAATAATTCTATTAGGCTTTTGGTTTATAAAGTCCTTGATGCGCTTATATCTTTAGAAAACACTTCAGGCAATTTATTTTTCTAAAAGTCCACACTGTATCTGAAAATCCTCAAAGACTAGGAAACAGTATAAAAAGTTTTAGTTGAATATTGCAAAGTAACATTCTTAGCAATGTGGAGCTTTGACAATAAAAAAGTAACCACAGGACCAAATGAAAGCATTTAGTCTTGCTTTATAAAAATAAAAAAAAATTATAGGTGAAGTTAACTATGAAGATATAATACTTTTTTGTTTCTAGAAATATAGCATTATGCCCCCAAAATATTTTAGAGTACTGGCCCAGATTAAGACTGTTACTAATTTATCATCACATCTTGAGTGAAAGATCTCATAAATTATCCAATACACACAAAGTGCAGACACATATAACATAAATAAAATTCATACTCTATAAATATATATTAACCATAAATTTATAATTTGTATAATTGTGTTTATACATAATATCTAGGTTATATAATATACATACTTTGCTTCAGCTGATAATATTCCAAAAAAGTGACTAGCAATTTGGCATCAGAGGAGAACCTAAATGCTGTCATTTATTTTCTTCTTTTCTGGTGTCTCATTAGAAACATATAGTATCTTAATACTGTCTAATAACTATAAGGACACAATTTCACTTGGCTGCAAGTCAGAGAGACTAACTTGGTGAATATGATCTTTAGAAACCTGATAAATACACCATCAACCCAAAGACAGTCCTTGAAGTTTGTGGGGATTGTGTGAAAGGTCTTTCAAATCAGAAATTCCACAATTTTCTTTTACCTATTTCATATGTACATACATACACATAAGTGTATACATGTAAATACAGAATAGCTAAGGAGAAAAAGTTTTGTTATTAATGGTCACAGTCATAGCTTATTCAATTTTACTTATTCTGGACATGGATCTTGACTATAGTAGTTATGTAATTTTTACCTAGCCATATAATAAAGATGATATCTGG